GATTTACTAACTGTGGTTAAAATTTGCACGTGAACCAAGGTTTGTGGTTGGTTTATACTATTTAGTGACTTTGAATCAAAGCTTAGCATTGCGTGTGAACTAAGGAGCCACCCAAAAGTGAGTGAAGAACAGCAAAATATTCAAGCCACTCTCAAGGCTCACTTGCTCTCATTGGAACTTTTAACTGTTCTGCTGCGTAATAGGCCAGGGTTTAAGATGCTTTAGCTTTACCTATGGTTTCTTAACTATGGTTAATGTGAATGCTGACCAAGGGTTAGCAAATTGTGCGAACCAGGCTAATAAGTGCAAAAACTCAGCTACCACCTGAAGTAATAGAGAGGATTGCTTGCTCATGAGAAAACTGACTGGTGGGGAGGACTCCTTCAGGAATTGGAATCCTTCCCAACCACGAGATCTTCTGTTTTCATAAAACCAGGCTAGATAATGTGTTGCAATCCTGAGACTGGGGACTACAATTCCCATCTTCCCTGACTATTGGTCATAAAGGCTGGGGCTGATGCTGGGCTGACCCAAGACATTTTGCTACCTCAGCAGAAGAAAATATGGTGTCTCATATTTTTGTCATTATTTTGTTCTAATCACACTTTAATTGTACACACTTTCACCTAAAGCATGTATTATGCATGCACTCTTCTAAAATATGTGATTTTTAATGTTTCTGATGCATTTGTAGACACAATTTTAGAGGTAGAACTGCATTGCAAAATTTGAAGACATGCATAATCTGATTGACAACATAGTTCCAATCCATATATAAATCTGGGACCAGCAAGTTAGGTCATTTCACTTTAAAATGCAGACTGAATAAACCCTCTTCCAACCCTAGTTCTGATGTAGTTCTCAACTTTAAAAAAAAAGTATCAAATTACATTTAAAAATGCATATTTGCAGGGTGACAGTATGTAGATGCATATTTAAATATGCATTTAAAAGCAATTTTTGCGCAAATGAAGATTAATGTGAAAATGGGATTGAACGGATTTATGGATTAATGCATATTAAAGCGTCAGGGACTGGAGACAGACTGATTTCCCTGTCCCTGGAGATTTATTAGCATCAGCTTTATCAGTTTGCAAAAGTCAGGAAGGCCTTTTCCTCTGTTTTACCTACAACTGCTTTAGAATTCTGCTCAGTGCCGACTGTTCTATATATAGAGGACAGTAAATCATCTTGTAACTCTCACTGCTCTCCATATTTCCGCAGCTCACCAGTATATTTAGACAAGGCTTTTCTGTGCTTCGGCAAGGCATTAAACGCAACTTCTCTTCTTCAGCATAAACACTCCCCTATGGTTGATCTGAGTTCATAAAAAACAGGTGGCACTCATTTGATAGAAACAAAAGCTGCAAACTTTATATGTCCCCTAAGATTGCCCCTCCGTGCCTTGACCTTTCCAAGAGAAATAATTTAGCTTCGTTGCTGTGAAGAACTTTGAATAACCTTTCATTTGTGAGCGGCAGTAATTATATTATGACTCTGCCAATGGATGGATGTGATTACCCTGTAGCTACCTTGTGAAAAACTGTTCCGCCACATAATGGACCTGTATTGGTAATGACTGTCTGAATCAGGCTGCTCCCTCAGAAAACTAAAATTTAATGTGAGACAATCACAAGTTGACAGCTATGGCACTGGCTTTTGGCTTCCTTCTCCTTAGTCTCAGTGTTGCTATCAAAGGACTCAGTATGGAGGAGGATGGGGTCAAATCAGAATTAGCTGGCTCTTAGGTGGTTACATCCGAAATTCTGTAGAGAAATTTGGATTTGGTCTGGTGGGCTGAGCAATGCAAACTACTTTGAAACCATTGTGTCAGCCAATGAATTAATTTCCCTTTCTCAGTTATTGGCTACAACCACTTGATTTGGGTAATTCAATAACACAGAAGAGCTTTCCAGGGATCTTCTTATATGCAATGAATGGCTTTGTGTACAGCAAAACGGCTCTCTAAAGCCTTTCCGTTATGTCACACTTCCAAAGCATGTTTCTAATTTTAGCTACCGTAAATGTGATTGGAAAGCCCAAAAGATCCAGGAATCTTTACTGTTCAGCAGATGGGAGGAGATGTTTGGAATAAGCCAGACACAGCAAACAACTCCAAATTAGCTTTAAGAACCGTAGGTGTGAATTTCAGCAACATTGTTGTGACTGCTGTGAAGAATATGACTATGTCAAACAATGTATGTTGCTGAGAATTAGGAACATAGGAAGCTGTCCTCTACCAACTCAGAACGTTGTTTCATGTAGCTCAGTATTGTCTCCACTGAGCAACAACCACTCTCCAGGGTTTCAGACATAATACTAGTAATAATCTTTTAGCTGGCACATCTTCTCTACTGCATATTCTAGGAGCATCCAACACCTGCTCCTATTAGTATAACTGGAAAAATGACCACAGATTCTAATAAGCCACCTGGCCTACTTGTGCAATGGGGTGGCGCTGTGGTCTAAACCACTGAGCCTCTTGGGCTTGCTGATTGGAAGGTCGGCTGTTTGAATCCCCGCAACGGGGTGAGCTCCCATTGCTCTGTCCCAGCTTCTGCCAACCTAGCAGTTCGAAAGCATGCCAGTGCAAGTAGATAAATAGGTACTGCTGTGGTGGGAGGGTAAACGGTGTTTCCATGTGCCCTAGCACACATCACAGTCCTCTATGCACCAGTAGCGGTTTAGTCATGCTGGCCACATGACCCGGAAAGCTGTCTGTGGACAAACACTGGCTCCCTCGGCCTGAAAGCAAGATGAGCGCTGCAACCCCATAGTCACCTTTGACTGGACTTAACCATCCAGGGGTCCTTGACCTTAACCTCTCTTTTTTTGGCTTGCAGTGAAAATTGCTGGGGAATCTTTGTAGGGTCTTACCTTTCCTTAAAAGCAGCATATCTAAATAGTAAAACATTGAGGTGGCTTCATTTTGCAGATCTCCGATTCCGGCCCTGAAAACCTCCCACCTGTGGATCCTGCAGATGCCAGTATGATCTACCCAGTCCCAGCCAACATCAGACCTGTCTTGAGTAAATACAGAGTAGAGGTGAGTTAACACAAAATGATGTGTTGGGGTCTCATTTCTTATCAGCCGCAGGCAACACCTTCACATTTCTATAGCTTCCTGATCTATGACTGTCATCTCTGCTCCAATGCTTCAGTCGAACTTTCTACTTTGTTTTCAAGCATTTGCTTGCACGTTTCACTGCTTAAATGCTGGCAGGGGGGATTTTTAAAACTGCTCCAAGAAGGGAATAAGGGACAGAAATGCGACTTTGCAAATGTCACAAAGGCCACCAATCAGCACTCTGCACAGCCTTGCTTCAAGGAGGGTGCAACATATGGCTTCTTGAGCAACGTAAGAGTCCGCCAATTACTACCCTGCAATCTAGAAACATTTCCCTTTAAGGGAAGGAAAGGTCACCCAAACATGATGCATATGCCATTGCCGCAGGCTCACTGCTAAAATGATTCTAGATCATTTTGGAGAGACCTGGTCTGAATAGAGATACTGGATTCTTGTCTCATTACACATGATAAAGCTATTTTTCATCACCTGCATAATATCCCTTGCTTTTTCCTGTAGGACTAATTGCAGTTGTTAACAGTCGTCAACAGGTTTATCATACCCATTGAGCCAATCACCCATCTCCTACTACCATTCTGAGAAAAACCCCACCCCACCCTCCCACTGTATATAAGGGGCTGGTGACTTCTTTTTCAGTGTATCTGAAGAAGTGTGCATGCACACGAAAGCTTATACCTAGAACAAATTTAGTTGGTCTCTAAGGTGCAACTGCACTATTTTTTTAATTTTTTATTTTGACTGCTAAAATGATGTGCATCTGCTGTACCCACTTTTGGTAAAGGAGCTTAAGACACCCCATTGATATTCACTGTGTATCTTGTTTGTAAATCACACTTCATCCTTCAGGTTGCTAGAACATGGATATACCTGCAGTTGGTCCTCAAAATACTCCCAAGAATTAGGCACGGTTGAGAGTAGATTATTGGAGGATGGTTGGAGGATGGATGGTGGCTAACAGATTGAGGTTGAATCCTGACAAGACAGAAGTACTGTTTTGGGGGGAGAGGAGGCGGGCAGGTGTGGAGGACTCCCTGGTCCTGAATGGGGTAACTGTGCCCCTGAAGGACCAGGTGTGCAGCCTGGGAGTCATTCTGGACTCACAGCTGTCCATGGAGGCTCAGGTCAATTCTGTGTCCAGGGCGGCTGTCTACCAGCTCCCTCTGGTACGCAGGATGAGACCCTATCTGCCCGCCGACTGTCTTGCCAGAGTGGTGCATGCTCTAGTTATCTCCCGCTTGAACTACTGCAATGTGCTCTACGTGGGGCTACCTTTAAAGGTGACCTGGAAACTACAGCTAATCCAGAACGCGGCAGCTAGACTGGTGACTGGGAGTGGCCGCCGAGACCACATAACATTGGTCTTGAAAGACCTACATTGGCTCCCAGTACGTTTCTGAGCACAATTCAAAGTGTTGGTGCTGACCTTTAAAGCCATAAACAGCCTCGGTCCAGTATACCTGAAGGAGCGTCTCCACCCCCATCGTTCTGCCTGGACACTGAGGTCCAGCACCGAGGGCCTTCCGGCGGTTCCCTCACTGTTACAGGGAATCAGGCAGAGGACCTTCTGTGTAGTGGCACCCGCCCTGTGGAATGCCCTCCCACCAGATGTCAAAGAGAACAACAACTACCAGACTTTTAGAAGACGTCTGAAGGCAGCCCTCTTTAGGGAAGCTTTTAATGTTTAACAGACCACTGTATTTTAATACTCAGTTGGAAGCCGCCCAGAGTGGCTGGGGAAAGCCATCCAGATGGGCGGGGTATAAATAATAGATTCTATTCTATTCTATTCTATTCTATTCTATTCTATTCTATTCTACCAAGTCAAACCATTGGTCCATTCAGCCCAGTATTGCTGACACTAACTGACAGTAGCTCCCCAAGGTTTCACACTGGGGATGTTCCCAGCCCTACCTAGAGACACAGGGCTTTGCACCCGGAACCTTTTGCATGCAAAGCAGGTGCTCTCCCACTGAGCTATGGCTCCTCTCTATATATTTCCCTGTGTGGCAACAGGGGTTAAATACTTTCTTTTAGACACACAACACGCAGCCTTACAGATTCCAATTATTTGCAGTTGCCAAGCAAGATTCTTATCCAGAAGAGATGGAAACTTGCTGGGCATAAATCTTTGGAAACAACTCATTATTCTCTTTCTCTCTTTTCCCTCGCCCCCAGTTGGTAAATCAGTTTTTAAAGAATCATCTTGAGGTGCTATTTGTCACTATTTAAGGGACAGGGAAGGGACGCAGGTGGCACTGTGAGTTAAACCACAGAGCCTAGGGCTTGCCGATCAGAAGGTCAGCGGTTCGAATCCCTGCGACGGGGTGAGCTCCCGTTGCTCGGTTCCTGCTCCTGCCAACCTAGCAGTTCAAAAGCACGTCAAAGTGCAAGTAGATAAACAGGTACCGCTCCGGCGGGAAGGTAAACGGCGTTTCCGTGCACTGCTCTGATTTGCCGGAAGCGGCTTAGTCATGCTGGACACATGACCCGGAAGCTGTATGCCGGCCAATAAAGTGAGATGAGCGCTGCAACCCCAGAGTCGTCCACGACTGGACCTAATGGTCAGGGGTCCCTTTACCTTCTAAGGGGCAGGGAAGAGCACTTTTCAGGCATTTAGCCCGAACATTCAAGGGCAAAAAGTGTGGGGGCCTGGGACATATACTGCAAGCCCATACCTGCTGGGACTGATTGGATGCAGAAGAATGGTGGGAAGAACCAACTGGGGAACCTCCAAAGGAAGGAGGCTCAGAGCCCAGCAATTGGTGGTGGCATGATAATGAGTGCTCAAAAGGAGAAGACTAGGAGGAGGAGGAGGAGGTGGAGGTGTCGGAAGCTGAAGAGGTAACAGGGCTTAGTGTGCAGGGAGAGTCTATGGCAGAGAGCAGTCCAGAATCAGAGGCGGAAGCTGAAGCTGAAGCAGGGGAGAAAGGAGACCAAGAGGCAGAGATGGTCAGGCTGGTGAAGAGACAGAGCTGTCTCCCCCTCCTGCTGCAACAAGCTCACCTCCCCCCGGTCTCCCAGAAGAGGAACGCAGTGGGAGGAGCAAAGGCAGGTATGCCGGCGCAGTCTCAGATTGCTTGGGGAGAACCCTGAAGTGCTTAAGCAGCTGTAGGGAGGTGGGGACCTCCAGTTTCTACAACTGCTTCACAGGGACAAGACCAACTGAATAAGAGCTGCTGTGCAAATTAGGCCTGACACTCCTTTGCTGATCCTGGTTTCTTTGCTTTCCAATAAGGAGTTAACTCCACTTAGTTCGTGTGATTTACTGCTGGCTCTCTCCTGACACTGGGCATGACCGCTCCACCCCACGTTACCTTTTTGCACTGTGGGAAGGCATGAATGTAATCAGAAATTTCCCTGTGATTAGGATAGGGTTACCAGACGTCCCCGTTTCCCGGGGACAGTCCCCGGATTTGCGAATAAGTCCTTGGACAAATTCCATCCCCGGAATGTCCCCGGATTTCATCCAATGTCCCCGGGAAACGCAGCAGCGGCAGTCTCAGCAGCCCAGAGCAGTTGGCTTTGGCTGGCTTCAGGAGCTGCTCAGAAGTCCCCATATGATGGTGGGGCAGGGGCTCTAAGATGCAGCTTCCGGGCTGCCTCTACCTTCCCTGACCCCAGCAACTAAGGTGTGAAGGGAGGCTTCATGCTGACTATCAGATTAAGGTTACCATACATCCCCATTTTCCGGGGACAGTCCCCGGATTTACAAATCAGTCCCCATACAAAATCCATTGTCGTTGAAAAGTGTCCCCAGATCCATTGAAAAAAATATGATAACCTTAGATTAGGACAGCTTGGTGGTGCAGCTGAATGCACTTAAACCCTGCCCTGCCTGATCCAGACTTTTGCAATAAATATGTGAAGGTCAGGAGTGGAGGGTTCAGGCTGCTGCATGTGGAAACGTTTGGAGCACACGGCTTGCTCCTGTGTGTTCAGGGTGAACGTCTGATGAGAACAATGCAGAACAGGCGAAGTTAGAACATAGAAAACTGCCTTAGGCTGAATCAGACCAGTATAAGACCAAATTGTGAGCCTCGTCCCTTCTATCCCCACATCTGAAACACAGAGGGCGATAACCTGGCCTACCTTGCAGGACTGCTGCAATTGCAAGTACTCAGATAATGTACAGAAATGAATTGCACACACGCTAAGTGTTTTTCTTATCCCCGTTGAAAGGTTCTCTTCTGGGGTCTCCGTGAACTGAAGAAGGTTCAGCTCCTTTCTGTGGATCGCCCACAAGTTCTCATTGAATGTGCCAGCAAAGGGGTGAAATCGTGTGTCATCCAGAGCTACAAAAACAATCCAAATTTTAATGTCCAGGCAGACTGGTTTGAAGTGGTAAGTATGTATAACTTGCTGCTGGTCAGACTCCCTCTTTCCTCTCTCCCCCCCCCCCCCGAAAAACAAGCAGCAGAGTAAAGTTTGGGAATAACCCATGGGATAATTAAGAGCCAGCCAGGATGCAGTAAAAGAAGGTGCTGATTTCTTTTCTTTTCTTCAGAAGTGGGGCTGGGGAGATGGTGGTTCCAATTTTAGCGCAGCTCACAGGGTGACTTTGGACCAACTATCATCCCTAAACTTAAAGCTGCCTCAGAGGGTTCTTATGAGGATAAACTGTGGGGGTCTCATATATTCAACCTAGGTGTTATGTACGGAGTTGAATAGGATCCAAAAGGCAGCAGTCTGATTGGTCCTAGAACAATAGGATTCAGAATGCAGCAGCCTGATTGGTCCTAGAACAATGCAGCAGTATGATTGGTCTGCAGGAACCACCCAATCCAGCTCCAGATGGAAGTGAATCCACAACCTGATTGGCCTACAGGAGAATCCCGGAATTAGCCAATCATGTGCAGCCCATTGTGTAAATAATGTATATAAAGCAGATACTTTGGGGGAACATTCATTCCTCCTCACCACTATGAGCTGAATAAAGAGCAGGAAATCCACGCTCGACTCCGAGTATATTTCACTGGCGACGAAGGTGGGATCCTGCTGAGCTGACCGCCACACACAGCACCGCAGCACCGCCGCCTGCCGCACCGCTAGTCGAGAGTGGATTTCACTAGGGATGGATGAGAAATGTAAGTTTACATTTCAATAAGAAACTGCCTAATTCGCATTTCTTAAACCTATAGAAGAACCAAAACGCAGCTGTCCTTTTAAGTTTGCACATCTCCAAGATTCACGATAGAGTTCTCGAACCAAACAATATGCACAAAAATGTTTGTATTAGGGGAAGTGTGCAGAAAAGCTGTGCGTATATTAGTGAAAGCAACATCCAAAATACGTTATACTAGGGCAGATTGCTTGCAAAAATGTGCATATTCGTCAAAACGGCATCCAAAAATGTGTTTATTATGAGCAACCTGCACTAAAATGCTGGTGATTTTTTTATAAGGATTTGTTTTTATTGTAAATTGCTTGCAGACATTTGGGAGTTGCCAAAAGGTGACGGGCCGTTTGTTCAATGTGGCTTGTGAATTAATAGGTCAAATTAGAGTTATCCTGTTAGATTTTGCAAAGAGCAAAATATGGCGGTTCTTGGGTGCAACAGGGACAAGAATAGAAACATTTAAGATTACAGCTTTGCTAAAGCTAAACAGGTGAGGATGAGAGATCATTGGGAGCCCTGTGTGAAGAGTATATAAAAAGAAACATGTACAGGTAGGTGAAATTTCTCGAGTCACGGACAAAGTTTCATCAATTTGGAAGATCCTGAAGAGGCCAAATTTCTATGGAAACCGAAACAGTTAGTGAAGCCAAAGTTGCAGGGGATTATATTGTATTTCTCTGCATTAGATAGCTGCTACATCTCGGATTAAAACAAAATTATCAATGGGCCAGTGAGTAAATTTTGGTAACCACCACTCCAGAAGACAAATAATTGATTATTATTGGATCTTGTCCTTTCTCCTCTGCTAGGAACTGCCTGAAAACGAACTGCTGCACCCACCTCTAAGCATCTGTGTAGTTGACTGGAGAGCCTTTGGACGCAGCACTTTGGTTGGAACCCACACCATCAATTGCCTGAAGCAGTTTCTGTATAAGCCTAAAGAACTGCCGGCCTCACCAGCAAAAGAGCCTGACATTGTGGAAATCGACAAAGGTAAGAAGTGCTGAGCGTTTGCGTCCAAGAGGCTTATATTCACATGAGTAAATGACCTTATATTTGTATGAGTCTTAAATATGCTATGAGCAAGCTCACATAGAAAATATCTGCATGGTTTTTATAGCTTAGTTTATTGATGGGGGATGGGGGGGAAATCACGTTATAGACCAAAGGCGATCAATATAGCCTGGCAATAATGAGTAATTGGCTGTGGTCCACCATAGGATGTTGATTTTATTTATTCATTTATTCAATTTGTATACTACCCTTCATCTGAAGATCTCAAGGCAGTTCACAGAATAAAAATACAAAAAGGAAACACAAAATATATGGTAAGAACAAGCACAAAACAAAACTCCCACAAACTCCCTCCTCCCACAAACACATTTAAAAGGGCCTTAGAATGTTAATCAGCCAAAGGCCTGGATGAAGAGAAATGTTTTCGCCTGGCGCTTGAAGGTATATTATTATTATTATTATTATTATTATTATTCCACAAACAGAATTTTGTGGAGCATTCCACAAACAGAGAGCCACTGCAGACCCCCTCACTATCACTGTGTGTGAGCCAAGAGATTTCTTTCATTGATATCTCCCATAATTCTTCAGCGGCCATTCACACTCATTATCAATGACATTTATTGAAACCTGCAAAGCATTAAAACAACCCTTGCTATGCAGGTATAAAGTCCCAGGTTTAATCCTTGGGATTATTATTATTATTATTATTTTATTTATATCCCGCCCATCTGGCTGGGTTTCCCCAGCCACTCTGGGCATCTTACAGAATATATAAAACATAATAAAACATCAAACAGCCCTGTCAGGCAGGGCTGAAAGATCTTGACAGAAGAGCGTGGCTGGATCAGGCC